CCCCAAATCCTTATCATTACCAATTTTCTCTGAATGTTTCAGTTTTGTATTTTCTATTTTGAAGCCTTTAATCAGTTGTTCATGATGATTAACTTTCCCCTTGTGTATGCATTCCTTAGTTAAATTAGTATAAAAAATAATTTGATACAATATTGTCTTTATTTAAGAGCTGAAGACCCAAAAGTTATGATCAAATACTTTATAAGAAAATGGTATCTTTTTAAGCAAATATTTTTTTTAAAATTTTTTTATTATTTTTGTGTGCGTGTACCGTCAAATCAGATCTGACTGGTACAGGAGGAGATTGCCCCCCCTTCCCCGGCAGAGCATCTGGTGGATTTGAACTGTGCACCTCTGGGATTGTAGTTGCAGCTTCTTGCCACTAGGCCACCAGAGCTCAGCAAATATTTTTTTAAGCAATTATTTTCAATGACATCATTGATACTGTTTGAAAGGGTAAAGGGCTATCATGTCAGGATGAGACACTGTGACACAATAGGATATAAATTTAACTCTCAGATGGGAGATCCATTGAATAATGAAAAAGATAATTACATATTCAATGGATTAATGCTATAAGAAAGGTAGTATAAGAACTTTAAGGGCATGGAGGAAAATAAATCTTAAGAGGGATTTCTCATTATCTTCCAAATCTACTAATATGACGCATTGTGATTTTCCGCCTCCATCCTTTATATTCAGCTAAAGCACTTACTGGCAGGAAGGACCATCCTCCCCGCCCATAACATTTATGCAATATTTTATATCTGTATTAGTTTTAGGGAGACTTTGTCTTTACATTTAGGTGGAACTGTTCAATATTCCACATAAATTGCTGATATTCAACAGTTTATGAACTATACATAATCTCATGTGGTTCTGCTTAACTCCTGGGGTCACACTGGTTTGTTTAACTACTATGGTATAATTTTGTTGGTTCTAAGTCTTGATGTACCTTAGCATACCTCATCACATTAGTCCTTTCATGGGACTATATATAAGCTGAACATTTAAGTGGCAACCAATCTGAGGAGACTGGATAACACAGTGGGGTAAAGCAACTGACAGCTAACTGAAAGTCCAGTAGTTTGAAACTGCCAGTCACTGCTCAAGAGGAAGATATAGCAGTCTGTTCCTGTACAGATCACAGCCTTGGACGCCCTGTGGAATGTTCTATTACGTCCTACAGGAATCAACGCAACGGCACTATGTTTGAAGTTTGTGTTATTTTTTTTTTTAAAATCTACTCTTTGGAAAACAATTAGTAAAACCTTTATTACTTATTAAGAGGTATTTGTAAATAGGTGTATTGTTTGCCTGTGAATTTTGTTGTTGTTGTTATGTGCTGTCGAGTTGCTTGCGACTCATAGCGACCCTATGTACAACAGCCCTAAACTCTGCTCTGCCCTGTGCCAATCGCACTGTCTCTGACACTCCCATCCTGATTATCCCAGTCACTGAATCAATCCACCTCATAGAGGGCCTTCCTCCCCTGCGCTGTCCCTCCACCCTCCCAAGCATGATGTCCTTCTCCAAGGACCGGTCTCTCCTCACAACATGTCCAAAGTATGTTAGTTACTCTTTTCATACATTCAGTTACTCATTTACCCAACACCTATTTCATACTACCAAGTGCGGACACTCTTCTAGGCAATGGAGTTATAGCATCAGAAAAAATGAAAGGTAAATAGGTTCTGCTGTCATGGAGTTTACATTCTAAGGGGTTAAATGGACCCGAGGCAAATAAGGCCCTAAGAATGTAATATATGGAGCCTAACTGGTAAAGATTGGTGATTCAAGCCCACTCTATGGGATAAAGACTTGTGTAATCTATTAAAGATGACAGCTAAGAAAATCCTACTAAGCAGTTCTACCCAGAACCAACTCAACAACACAGTAAATAAGAAATAAAACACAAAACTGGAAAAGACATAGATAAAAGGTGATGTGGAATTTTATTTGTTCTTGTCAAGGAAGTCATTCTGATAAGGAGACAATTGCGCTGACTTGAATAACATGAGAATTTAGCTGTGAAAACCTGGGAAAAAGAGAGTTCCAGGCAGAAGGAACAGCACTCAAAACATGTGAAGCATCCTAAAAAGTATGTGAGTTCAAAAAAGTTAAGGTTTTGGTGTTTGTTTCCCCCTCCTTCCTCAAAATGAGAAGTATTGTAAGCTTTTTCTGAACAGCCTCTTCTTTTCATTAAGCTTCTTTGACTCTTATGGACTTTCCCCCTGATCTTCTACAGCAGAATTTAACTTGCAATTTAGCACAACCAAATGCTATTGTCTTGCTTCTGGGCATTCAATATAATCTCCTTGATTGGACCATAAACTTAAATGCAAGGATTATACTTTATTCTGTTTCTGACACTAATTCTTCCGCTTCCCATCTACTCTGTCCTAGTGTTTAAGTTACATTTTTCCTAAAGGTATTTGGTGAATCAAATGCACAATCATTTGCAGTTTAAAGATTTTAATGAGAAATGATTCAGTATCAAGATACTGTAGGTGTTACGTAGAAACACTACATGGATCTAATATTTTCATTTTCTTTCATATATATATTTTCTTCTTGATATATAGCTATTTACTTAAAGAGGAAAAACAGACCAATAAGGAGATATATTAAAAGGCTTTATTCACAATAGAGAAATTTTACAAATATAGCTTTTAAAAATTATGTGTCAATCTATTATGTATCCCGTAACGTTAGAGATTTATATAAAGTTGGAAATGACAGAATGGATTTATGTACAAAGCAAAAACAATTACTGTAAGGAATGGTAAAACACATCAAGAACTCAAGACGAATGTGATGAACGTCATTGAATTCTGTAAATTTCCATACAAATGATATATGTACTATTAATTGCACAAAAGTATATAAAAACATATTGCATATAAACACAAAATCAAGTGCTATTTTAATTATCCACCCTTCAGGATGTGAATATATATGTAAACGTAACTGCACAGTTCTGCTGGAAATGAACAAAAGACAGTATCTACCTAACAACTTGATTTGCTTAAAATAATGAACATAAAACATCACCATCCTTCTAATCTCTTGTTTACATATTTGGTGATTTTGGAATTATAGTTTTAAAAAATTCCAAGTTCTAGAATTTAAAAAATCTTACTCATGCCCGTGGCAGAGAAATAAGTAGTACAATCTTCTTGTCTACTTATGTCAAGTTACAAATGGTATATTAGTGCAGTGTGTACATACAACCTGATTTTAATATTCTATCTGTTGCAGAAATACATATTAGCTTTGTGCTCTTTTAAAAAGAATTAAAAGCAAAGAAAAGAATTAATTCAAGTTGCTAGTCAGAGGATTTATATATGAAAACTATAAATACACATGGCCCAATTATGGCAATAATTTTTTTTACACTTTGAGTCCTAGATAAAAAGGACTTTCATGATCCACTTATTTTATTAGGTAAGCTGAAAATATGGGTGGAGAAGTTATTCTGGGTCGCAGAGACAGATTAACAAGGCAATCATGATATACTGAAGGGTATTTTCATTTACTAATTTTAACTTACAGCGAATAAAAAAAAAAAGCATCTCACACATGTTGGTTCTTTCAGACAGAGGTAATCCTTTAAAATATTTTATAGCCAAAATGATTAAGTTACTGTATCTAAGTTACTGTACTAAGAAAACTGCATCTGTCTTTAAAAAATAGTAGGTGGAACCATACAAAAGTACTGCTATTTGACAGTTCACTATCAAATAACAGTCATTTCATGTGGTTCTGCCTAATTCATGGGGTTGCACTGCTCTATTTAATCACTATAGTATGAAATTTTGGTGGTTTTAATCTCTATTTACCTCAGTATGCATTATCACATTAGTCCTTTCATAGGAATATATATATATATAATCTTACCCATATGATAAGCAAACACAGCTGCAACCAATCAGAGGATCCTTGATAACACAGTGGTTAAAGCAAGTGACTATCAATGGAAAGGTCAGTGGTTTGAACCTACCATCCACTGCTTAAAAACCAGCAATCTGCGTCTGTATAGATTAAAGCCTTGAAAACCCTATAGGGAAGTCTGACTGTATCCTATACAGCTATGACTCAGAATCAACTTTGTGGTGGTTGATTGAGAGGTTGGGTTTTTTTGGTAATGAAATTTATTCTTGGGAAAACAGTTTTTTGTTATTCTGTATCATCCAGTTTGAACCAACATAAAACAGTCCCTCTAGCAGGGAGAGGCAGTAAATTGCATGGGAGGAGACTGCCCATCTTTCTCTTGTGGAGAAACTGGTGGATGTGAACTGCATGCCTTTGGATTGGCAGTACAAATCCTTACCATTAAACCACCTAAACTTCTGAGAAAGTAGTTAGTAATCTCAAAACCTAATGGTCTGAAGAACTTGTCATTATTTTGGCAGGCTACAGGATTGTGGGGAAGTTGGCATCAGCTCTACGTACATGTTGCTTCTAAGCTAGGTTCCCTCTGCTGAGCTTGACTGTACTATATGCACATCATTCTTATTTGGCCCAAAAATGTGTTAGATTTTCCTCAACGGGCCCATGAATAAATAAACTGGCAAAACAGTTTTCACAAAGTTAAATCCTGCTTTCATGAATGAAATAGTTTATTGCATTTAAGAAAGGGTGCCTTTCAAATGTGAACCAAATGTAATGCTTTTTTGCTCTCAAGAAAAAACAAATTAGGATAAAATGAAAAGAAACCCCAAACAAACCCAAAATAAAACAACCCAACCTGAAAACTATTTAAAAAGCCTTTTTTTTCCAGAGAGACCAAATTTCTTCCTCTACTTAGTTAAAAACAAGAAAGAACATACTAAGTTACATTATTTCCCTTTTTAAACACACAACTGAGTGGTAGCAGAGCCCCTGCAAAACTTGTGAGCTCACCTCATTGTGTAGTAGGAAACAAAACTGAAGAGATACAAATCCATGACCCAGCAAGGACACAAGACATTTAAAGTAAAATCTAAGGACAAGCTCATAAATTAAGAAACATCAATATAATTCATCAACAAAAATACACTTCAGTTCTAATGCAATGAGGTCAACATGAGATGATCCTTTGGGAATAATTTTTTAATTTGAATCACAATGTGAATGAGGAGTTTAGATGAGAATTCTATCAAATAATGATAGACCCGCATAAGGAGGCTGTCACAGTTATAAGATCTGTCTCTGGTGGGTAGACAAAATAGATTAACATGAAGTTGAAAAGAAAAAAAATGCTATTTAATACTTACTTATTATGGCTTTTTGCAACATGGCAAAACATTACAGCTTAAAGCAGACATCATCTCCTCATAGAGGAGGAAAAAGTTTTGCAGTCAAATAAAAATTGTAATTAAGAGGTCATTGGTATACCGTCCTATTCAGGTTAATAAAAATGATACTGTGACTTCCTGAACTCCAGAGATAAGGGAGTTACTGAAAAAGAAAAACCCCGTGGCTCCACTGGCAGAACAAGAAAGGATACAATGAGAGACTTCGGCCCATCTATGCTTATGATAATAAACATAAAAGACTGCAAAACAATTTGAAAACTTAGAATAATCACATATCTATTAATCAAAATGCGTCATGTGCCTGAATATCAGAAAAGGAATTATTAAGGTATGCAGTGAAGGGAATGGAGCAGAGTGAAATGTAAAGTCTTTTTTTTTTATTTTTCTTTGACATCAACTGCCTTTTTGTCTATGCGGAGTACAGGGAGAAGGTGTGCTTCGGTATTAAAGATCCAATGTTCCAGTGGAAGGAGATCATCATCAGAAAATATTAAATACAAATACCTGGTGAGAGAAACAAGAGCACATGAGACCCAAGGGACTGCATGAGGAAAGGATACCACTAAGATAAAGAAAACTCCCAAATATCTACCAAGCCATTCATTCTATGGAGAACCGTGGAGAACGGTCAAGTATACAAAAACCCCGAGGGAAAAAATATATATATATACATACACACACACACATATACACACACACACACACACACACACACACACACACACACATTAACGTGGAGTGAAAGGTACTCTGAGCTTTGTGTGTGAGAACCTTACCAAGCAGTTCTGTGTCATTAACTTTAATAACAACTGAAGACACCCTTGCAATATTAGTCATGGCCTCACAGGGGCTATGGAGGAGCATTTAATTATAGCAAATCTAACCTGCTATGTGAGTAAAGGAAATGCCTCATGATTTGTTATTTTTTTTTAAAGCCTCTCATTTCAGAGGCAAGTCCCTCGTGCAAATGTTTAAGGTTCTTGGCAGCTGACTAAAAGGTGGAGGGTTCAATCACCTTGAAAGAAAGACCCTGTGATTAGCTTAAAAAAATCTAACACACACAGGGTCACACCATGTGTTGGCGTTGACTCTACCGCAACTGTTTAATATCTTTTGAGAGGTTACATGTTCATGATAACAACCATCTATAAAAATGATCTGACCAGATCCCTCAGCCACAGACTTACAGAGTAATCATTACTTACTTTAATGTCTCTGCTAGGAAGAAACTCTGCTGCACGTCGTCATAACTCTCGTGTCTGAGGTAAACATCCCTTAGGCCCGAATAGCCTCCATTCACTTTACAGTGATTTTCTAGGGCCTAAATGACAGAGAGGAGAGAGAGAAAAAGGTAACATTTCAGTAAATTGATTATCCTTAATTTTGGGTACTAAATTATTAAATTCAAAAGAAATATTTAAAAGGAATGACACATTATCATGAAGTTTTGGGTAAAAATTAAAAAAAAACACGTTAAAAAAAAAGTAAATAAATGATGACAAGTCAAAAGGTACAGGGGCCGCAGATCTTACCTAATTGGAAATCCTTCTACATTTACACGCACAATAATTTGTCACTGATTTATAACCATTTCCTCCTATGGTCCAGAGCAGGGTTCTGCAAACCCCTGAAACACAAACTAAATCCAGCCTAATGCTGGTTTTTGGAAACAGAATTTCATTGGAACCAAAGCCAAGTTCTTTTGTTTAGAACTCACATGTGGCTGTTTTCACCCCACAGCTGCAGCACTAAGCAGTTCTGCTAGAACCAGTATGGTCTCTAATCCTGAAACACAGACTCACTTTCCTTCATGGGAAGGGTCTGTTGAGCTTCAGTCTAGAGCTATCATTAATGCCAAGTGAGATACAAACCCTTGGTTGAGAGCGTGTACTGGACTGCAAACAGCTACTACTCTAATCAGAACCCTTTAAAGATTCATTGTGATTGTAGAGAGATCTCACTGTTATTTGTACCCTGCCACTCTACTAAATTGTTCTCCTGGGTCCATTAGTTTTTCGTTGAGTCTTTGGGGGTTTTCTGTGTATACTATCACATTGTCTGCATAGGACAACCGTTTTACACCATGGGATACTATGCAGCGTTAACAATAATTTTGTAAAATATAACATGGGAGAGACTAGAAAATACTATGCTGAATGACTCAGTCTCATAAGGACAAATACTGCATAAGACCATTATTGCAAGAAAGATGTGTAGAAATGTTCAGAGGGGGAAGAGAAAAAGAAGAGGACAGAAAAAGGAGAACGACAGAAATCACTAGGCCAGCAGAGGTTAGTGACAGACGGAGGGGGAAAAAGTAGTAAAGACTCAATGAAGACATGAAAAGACAGAGTAATAATAAACATAGATTAACAGTAATTTATTATATAAAATAGAGTGTATATGAATGATTGTATAAAGCACAATATACATAAACAAAACACAATGTAAGTGAAAGACTGTATAAAGCACACTGTATAGTCATGAAATGTAATACATATGAATAACATTATGCAAACCAATAAATATATGAGGAAAAAACCAAGCCAAAAAAATTGATTGTGGAATACTAACTAGTAATGCTGGTGCTTCTTCTTGTTACAAGCCACAGAGTTGCTTGCAACAGATAGCGACCCTACGTACAAGAGCCCTAAACGCTGCTCTATCCTGTGCCAACCTCGCTGCCTCAGACACTCATTCCCATCACCCTAGTCACAGAACTGATCCATCTCAACGAGGTTCTTCCTCTCCTGCACCGCCCCTCCACCCTCCCAAACATGTCCCTCTCCAAGGACCAGTCCCTCCTTGCAACATGCCCAAAATATGTCAGATGAAGCTTCAGAATCCTTGACTCCAGGGAACATTCTGGCTTCACTCTCTCCAGGACAAACCTGTTTGTTCTCCTAGCAGTCCATGGTATATTCAACACTCTTCTCCAGCACCACAGCTCAAAGGCACCAATTCTCTTTCTATCATCCCTATTCACTGTCCAACTCTCTGATGCATAGCATGTAATTGCAAAGACTATAGCCCGGATCAGGTGCACCTTAGTCTCCAGCCTGATGTTGTTATTCTTCAGTACTCTTGAGAGGTCCCTCACATCTGACTTTCCCAATGCAATTCATCTCTTGATTTCCTGGCTGCTGTTACCAAGAGTGTTGACTGTGGAGGCAACTAAACTAAAACTGTTAACTATCTCAGTCTCTTCCTCATCCATACTGATGCGGCCAGACAGAGTTAAAAGAAAAAAGGGAGGGCAATGAGAGAAATGTATTCAGCCCTCAAATATACTTAAGTCTGGGTTAGACACAGTTGGAATACATCCATTGGCAAAAATTTACAGAGGCAAATAGTCCTACATTGCCGTGCTGTCCGTCATATAATTAATCATCCAACAGACAAGTTGGGGAGCATAACGACAAAATACAGGGAAGAATCTAAACGTAATGTCTTGCACTTTGTCACCTGTCACAAAGGTGACTGCTGTATTTTGAAATTAAATTAGCCATTTTGTTAGTTCAAATTCATCTCGAGGAGTTATTTTCTATTCCCTCCTTCCTGCTAATCATATTAATTATATAATCAAATAAAAATTTCCATTGTAAAAAACCCTGCTATATGAAATCTGGTTCTAATTGAGAAGAATGTGGGAAAAGAATAATTTCTAGGACCAAACTCCTAGAATCTATAAAGAAATTACATTACACACACACACACACACACAGAGTGAAGTTCCTTTTAGGTTCTCATGTAATTTTTCAATGACTTGCCAGTTTCTCTAATGAATCATATCCCTATCCTTTTTATACCTCCCCATATAATTATGTACCATTTTCCTCCTATTCTTAGCTCACCCTGGTGGCAGAGTCTGTATGGCACTGATGCCAATCCAGAGGCCATAGTTCTCTCGTGGGTCTAACCCACCAGTTGCTGCTTGGGAGAAAGATGGGCAGTCTTCTTCCTCTGGATTTCTGGCCTTACAAAACCTGCAGGAGGGTCAGCTAGTTCTGACGTGACAGCAGTGAAGAGTTTATAATGGCGCTGTGGTGGCACTGTGCATAGTGCTGTACTACTAAGTAAAAAGCTGCATGACTCCAGCAGTCCAAACACACCAGCACCGCTGGGGGAGGAAGACGGACAGTCTCCTTTACTTGAGTTTATTCCCTCAAGGGAAGGAGACAATGGTGGATTGCTAGGCGTTAGAATCCTCTTGAAGGCAGTGAGTTTGAGTTTTTACATAGAAAACATAAACTCAATATTCTACTGTCATTGAGCTGATTTCAAACTACTAGCAACCCTACACTGGGTTTCTGAGGGTTCAAATCTTTATTGAGGAAGACCGAGCATAGTTTCTCCAAAAAGCCACTGGGGCATTTGGACTGCCAATCTTTCTGTTAGCCATTAAACACAGTAGGCACTATGCCACCAGGACTCCTGACAGAAAATAGAGATCGTTGTGTATTAGTTGAGAAACCCCTTCATAGTTAGAAAAGGGTTTTGGAAGAAAATACGGTGTTGAGGACATGGAGCAGAGAAAACAGAAAGCTGGTGAACTGAGCCACTTTCTTCTCAGCAGGAATACTCTGGTGGAGCTCAGCCTCCATCTTTAGATACTGATGGTGCGGATATTGATTTTTCACACCAGGACTGGAGGGAGTAAGGAGAGAGCACAGAACCATGAGGAGAAGCCTTTAGTTACCACGAAGCAGATCTGATGAGCAAGCTACATGAATAAAGAAAATACCTTAGGATTTGGTATTATTTAAAAGCCCCTGGGAAAGTAAGAACAATGTTAAAAAAAAAGCCTTGATAAAATTCCTCATTCTAGACAATGAGTCAACTAGGGAAAAACATGAAGAAACTTTCAGATCCTATTACTTCCACTTCCTTTCCACTTTTGATTTTTATACAATTAAAAAGGTTAAATGCCAGCTTCATGGAATAGGCCAAAAAATAGCTTTCTAAAAGGTGAAAAAAAATCACCATTTAGACAAAATGAACAAGCTTGCTATGAAATGCAATAAAACCTCATTTCCAAGAAAATATTTTAGCCAAACCCCTTTTTCTTGATTGTTTCTTTAAGGTTCTTTGGTGACAAACTAATGAAATAGAGTGCCCTCCTCTAAAAATAGAATTTTCTATAAGTTCCTTCTTTTCTTCTACAGAAAAATGGCTTTGGGGTATTCTATTGTGGTTTGTTTCTCTTGGGTTGCCTTTACACCAATACAAGGTGGTTACAACCCAGTCCTGACCCATCGCTATGGTGCTTCAGCTCACTGTGGAAGCCACAGAGTCTAATCCATCTTGTGGAGGCTCTTCTTCCCTGACCTTCTTCATTTCTGAGCAAGATGTGTTCCTCCAGGATTACATACCCAAAGTAGCTGAGATGAACTCTCGTCATCTTTGCCTTTAAGGAGCATTCTGGCTGTAAGTTCTACTGGCAGTCCATCTATCGCCTATTGCCTATATTCCTATAATACCACAATTCAAAGGCCTCAATTCTTCTCTGGTCTTCCTTGTTTACTCTCCACTTTTCAAACACAAATGGATAAACTAAGGCTTGGGTCAGGTGCATCTTACTATTTAAACAGGTATCTTTGCTCTTTAGTGATTTAAAAAGGTCCTTGCGGTAAATTTCCATAATGCAATGAATGCACCGTTTGCTTTCCTGGCTGCTGCTGCTATGTTGACTGTACTTGGGTACAATGAAATTGTTGACAACCATTAATCATGATGGTTTGATATTTAGACAATGCTTAATTGTTCTCTTTCCAGTTCACCTCTATGCATTCTTGTACTCTCATATTCCTCACATGACAAGCTATACGGAGCAGGGGTAAAATTGTGAGGATGGCCGTGTCTGACTTCAGTGATCTCCACAAGGATAATAATCAGTAACTTTGGTATATAAAATTGATCTCTTGATAAGACATAGTTCCCAACACTGCTACGTCTATTTCTCATTAATTACTGGGTCCAATATTTGTTGCAAAAGTTGTGGGGTTTACTAGGGAAACAGACTGTGGGGTGAGAGGAAAGGCAAAAGACATCACACAGTAAAAGTTCCCATGATTAGTCCAGTAGACAAATGCAAGAAGTCTCTGGGTTTTCAGAATGAATACCTTTAACTCTGGCACCATCTCCAGGGTTCCATCAGGCAATGCCTCATAATCTTTCCACAGTCTCTTTAGTGCTCTCTCTTATGATGGCCTCAAAGGTGTTGATGACACTTCTCAACCACAAACCACATGTCCACAGCAGAGGTGGAACCCACGCTCTTGACGGAGGGGGTAGGGGAATGAAGGTAACTGCTAGAAAGCC